AACTACCCACGTGCTAAGCAGTTTGAGAGTTTGTCTCTGCACGCAACATGTGATTTTGGTTGACGTTTAGAGGTTGGGAATCAGGGCCCAAAAAGCTCATATGCCCCTTTATGGTTCCTTTCTGTTACTTGTACTCTTGTATAGCAAGCACTTTACCCCGAGAGACCCTATTCAAAAACCTGAGGCCCCCAGATTAACCCGAAAGCCTGAGACTCAAAAATCACTGTCTCGTGCAGAGGAAACCCCGTTCCGATATCCCTGTAAGCTCCCAACACATCCCAATGGAATCCGAAGAATCCCTATAAATCCTCCATAGAATCCCAAGAATCCCTATAATTAAAACCCATAGAATCCTGAGAATCCCTACAAACCCTCCATAGAATTCTGAGAATCCCTACAAACCCTCCATAGAATCCAATCCCTATAAACCCTCCATAGAATCCCAAGAATCCCGATAAAACCCTCCATGCAATCCCAAGAATCCCCATAACAAACCCTCCATAGAATCCTCAGACATCCGGCCTGGAGAAAAGCTGGCCAGGCCTCCGCACGCAGGGGAGAAAAGTCTCTTCCCATATCCCAAACCCATTAGATACGGCATAGAGGCAGAATGTAGGGGCCTTTATACTTAGAATAAGGTTTTGGGGGCTCATTATCATATTTATGGCATAAGATACCCCAAAACACTATCCTAATTATTAAGTGGGGTATTGAGTTTAGATACGGTCTGGTGTCTAGCGTTTGCAAGGTTTTGAATCCACGATGATGAAAACTTGCTGACTTCGCTCGGGAAGATGATTCCGTAGTCGTACTGCCTCCAGGACCATGAGGTCTTCGGGACAAATCCCTAAGCCTAAGGGTCCAAGTGCCTAATAATCATATACGCTCCCAAATGTTAGCCTAGTGTAACCACTATCCGCAACCAAAGTACCTTATTCTTGGGTCTGTTGGACCCTTAGGGTAAGCCCCGAAACCCTCATAAAGCCTAAACCTCCCTCCACCCTGGCAGGGGGCACAGGACCCCATCGGTCAAAGGGTTCAGGTGGCTCTGGGGCTTCGGTCAGGTTTACGGTTTAGGGTTTAGGGTTTAGGGTTTATAGGGTTTAGGGGTTTAGGGCCTGCATCAGAGCGCTTTCTAGGAACAGTGTTTCAGGTTATTCCGACCCCCCTCCGACATTTCAGCATCAGTCTGAAGGCCGACTCTGCTTAGACCCTTCTTTGGGATTCTTCGAGATAGATGGCCACTAAACCCTAAACTCTAAAGGGCTCCGCTTCTCTTGGTCTGGTATGACAAGGAGATCCTACTTTGCCTGGCTTTGGGACCTTTGCCTTGGGGGCTTTAGTCTGATACTGGGCCTCCAAACTAGGGTCCCTTGTAGGGTCCTTTTTTATATGGGTGCCGCCTATCTTTGAGCCCTCAAAAGGGCCCCAAATTTAGAGAACTACTCATGTAGGGTACATGGCTTTCGGAAGCTGCCTCCAAAGTGCTTCCCCGCACCCATGCCCTGAACTCTAGGTTTGGGGCTGAGGGTTTATATATACTGTATCTGTAAGGTCTACTCCAGGCACGGCATTTACTTACAGATCCTAGGATCCTTTTTGTCCGTCGCCCGTCCAGTTTTGGGTACCCAAAGCCCGCATTGAGCGAGACCAGGCGCCACCTGGCCAACAGGCATGCTATGCTCATCAGTATACATATATCACAGTCCGATGCCATTACCTTGCTTTGCACTTGTACGTTACACTACACTATGCCACGAACACATTACAATGCAGTGCAGTGCACTACATATGCTACTTGTGTATGCTCAAGCTTGCTAGAAGGCCTGATTAACCACTTTGAAATGCAGTGCTAGTGGCTGCTAGTGCCATTAATGTTCACAGCTCGATTATTGCTGTGGTCTCACATTGTTGGCGAGGCCAGAAGATAAGGGGTTTCGAATTGATGGTTTAGGGTCAACCTACGGATATATAATGTAGTTTACAAAGAAGATCAGCTCTTGTACCCAGTAGGAACATACTGCGGCTTATGCATTCTGAGATGCAGGGTGTTGTTTGCAGACCTGGTGTTGGTTCAACTTGCTCAGGCAGCCGCTTGGGACGGCTTGTCAACGCCTTGGGCCGTCCGTTGCAGTGGAATTTGAAAAGGCGCGCAGTGTGCGTGATGCGTTGTTGAAGGCACGTCTGCCATGGTGGAAAGTTGAGGGTCATGCCCTACGGGGCATTGTACACTGTCTCTTCGGGCCCAGGGTCAATGGTATAGATCATACTGAATCATACTCGATCACTCTCTTTTATTTTATAGCATAGTCATATACGGCACCATAACGGCATATTATTGATCAACATTGCTGGCAATTGTACGCCCCCGACACAAACACACGCACACGCAGAGACGCACACAAGTACTCTGAACTCTTTCAACGGGGTTTCAGCACGGAAGAGATCGACCGAGGAATCTGAGGATAGGCGCTCTCCAACCGACCCGAATCAATGAATCCTGTTGCTATGTGCTAATACATGCTACACAGCATGTGCATATGTATAGATGCACCCCGGCACTATACCTGCCAATCAGTATTTGATCGTATGCACAGTTTCATGCTGGTGTGTGATGTGGTATGGTACTGGTGCCAGCATGTATCCGGCTGGACTAGTCTCCCCGTATAGTACAACCCCAACTTCGCGCTTAGGACTATTCACCGGGAGCCCAATAAACACTTACCAAAGCAGCCAATCGTTTGCATACACGCATGTGTTCGTGCAGTCGCTACGAAGCATTCTTAAGCGCTGAAACATCTCGGTGCACACCTTCCCAGTAGAGCTTCCGGCAGTTGCAGCAGCGCCAGAACTCCTGTTGTGCAGAAAATATAGGTCTCAGGTCGTTTTTGGTTTTAGGGTGTATGAGTCTTGGTCTTGGTCCTAAACCACCTTTGGTTTGAGGACGTAATTGTCTAGGCCTACAGACCATCGAAATGTAGAGTTCACTTCAAGTCAACCCCAACAACATAGATGCTGTAATAGTTAGAACTAGACTAGTGTTTGCGCGTTGGGGCTCTAATTACCGTCGGCCAGCATTGTGTGCGACGCACATCTCGGCTAACGCGCTGCTTAGTTCATATCGCCATCCGCATCGCTTCACACCGATGCTGCGCTGGATGTGGGACACTTGTATCTACAAGCCCGGGACAGGCATACTATAGGTGCTTCAACAATTAGAATAGGGCTTTTAACTCAAAGCCGCTGAAGCATTGAATGCTGGTGCCCAGAAATCTGGATCCAATTTAATCGATGCGTTCGAGCACAAGGGCCCATGTACGTACCTGGTATAGACTTGGGGTTTTCAGGGGCTCCTGTTTACGTGCTGCATGGTCAAAAGTACATACGAGATAGGTACGTGGACCTAAACCCTAAACCCTCAACCCTTGGTAACGAAACGCGTCTACTACGTCAGCTACAACCTCATCTTCGTTATTGGTAGTAGCAGTACTGGTGCGTTTCGCACTGACGCAGAAAACATGAACCTCAAGTCCGGAAACCTAAACCCTAAAACCCTAAACCCTAAAACCCCCTAAAACCCTCAACCCTAAACCCTTAGTTAAGCCCCAAACACAACACGGAACCCTGAATCCTTCCGGAACGCTCAAACTTTGTAAGAAGCTTGTTTAGGGTTTAGGGTTTACGGTTTATAAGCTAATGACCCTCAGGCGCGTCATTGCGCCAAACCCGGACACCTGCTCACACTAAAAAACCCAATGCATACGATATCCTGAGCCCTAAAGCTTGTCAGCGAAACATATCTACTCCGCTAAGTTAAGTTGAACCATGTGAAACCCCAAACAACAAGCCCTCAACTATACACCCCAACCCAAGCTGCTGTGCCCTGGACCCTGAAGCTCAGAACCCCGGAAAAAAATATGCTGAAGCCCCCTAAACCCTAAACCCCTAAACCCTAAAACCCTAAACCCGAAGCCTCTAACTCTATGATACCCTAATGCCCAAACCCTAAACCGGAATTCTTGATGGGTCTCCGTGTAGCGCTCCACGGTGCTGGCATGGAGCTCCCCTTCGACCTCCCCAGCACTGGCAAGGCGGAACTGATGGCCATTGCAGTCCTCAGCCGAGGGGTTTAGGGTTAGAAGTTTGGGGTTCAGGGTTTAGGGAATTTAAATTTGGGTGCTTGTGTTTGTGTATGTTATGTTGTTTGTTGGGTCAGCTGTCGTTTTGGTTAGTGTTCATGGTGTTTTTGTTCGGTTTGGGGTTTGGTTAGGGTTTTGTGGGGCTTGGGGTTTTGGAACAGCTAGTGAGTGCCCTAGGGCGGCGGAGCTTTCATGTTCGAGTCTGCTCGCTTGAAAGCTGGTAAGATTCTATGGGCACTGGCAGTCTGGCAATTCTTATCCATAAGGCTACATGTAGTTGTTACCTCTGGATATACGGTGCTTGTTTGCCCCCCCCCCCCCCCCCACCCCATCCAGCATATGGGCGACACGCCAGAAGTGTTTGCAAATGTTTGAGCATTACAATGGGTGACTTCCACGTCAGCTTGACACCCAGTTTGCTCCCTGTAAAGCCGGCAGCTCAGGCAGCAAACACTTGGGACTGGAAGGACTACGATCAATCCAGCTCTGTGCCCTGTGCGACGGGCCAGGGCTCTCTGAGGGGAAATGACCGCGAACAAGTCTTTCAAGCCCAGCCCCCTTGAGAAGCCAAGGTTTAAGCGGTGCAAGTTGCAGCAGCTTCGGCAGCAGATTGCTGCTTCTTTGCGGCTCTTCGTAAGTCTCTTCACTTGCATTCCCAGGACTGCGGCCGAGTGGCCAGCGAAGAGAGGTCCGCTCCGTCCCCACGCCCCACACTCTACGTGTGATCTTAAGCCAACGCTGCAAAAACGTGGAAAAAAGCTGCAAAATGCTGCAAAGCTGTCATGTCACTCTAAACAGGGCCGGGGCCCCCTCTTGGGCACAGAATGCGGCAGAGCTCTCCTTTTTTGGTGTCTGCTGAGCTCAGCAGTGCGAGAGGGAGAAGCCACAGGAAGACAGCACCACCACCTGCAGTGGAAGCGCTCCGCCGCGGGCCGCGCGCCGCTGCAAAGAGCCGAGAGACTCAGAGGCTCCTACGTAAATGAGGGCCGGACCAGAATGACGAGGACCAGTACGCAGGCCATCACGGCCATTGTCCTTATGACTTCCGCGGGTCCTTGATGGCCATTCTAGGGAAGGTGGAGTTCTCTGCCTGGCGTTCTGCCACCACACCCGGCGCCGCAGGTGCTCTGCATCCCGCCGGAAGCTGCTGGCAGACCTGAGAAACGAATCGGTAAAAACACTCACCTGCCGTCTGCCGTCTGCCCGTCGAAACGGGGCCCAGACGCAGAGAGAACCTCGCTGCGGTGCACCAGCAAGTCGATCTTCTCCTGAACCATCGTGCTTTTTCTTGAGCTTTGCCTTGCTCTCTCATGCACCTGCCGCTCGAGGATCTTGTCGATGCTGTCCATGAGGTGGTCGTTGATGTGCTGCACCTGTGGCAGGGGATAGGGAGCCTCGTGTGCACGTGTCCTCGCACTCCTCGCGCTCGTCCTCGTCCTGGCCTTGGCCATCATCGAGGCCACGCGGTCCACTTCCGGAGAGTTGTACTTCTCCATGAGAATCTTTAGCTGCTCCCGGAAGTCCCCCTGCATGCCATAGGCGATGGCGCTCTCCACCTGCTCATGTCCGTAGCAGCCGCAGAAGCCTTCCTCCACGCGACCGAGAGCGCGCTAGCGCTCGCGCGCTAGCTCGAGCTCTCTCTGGCTCTCTCCAGCTCTCTCCAGCTCTCTCCCTCTCTCGCTGTCTCCCCGTCCTGGACCGCTTGCAGGAAGCCGAAGGGGATGCGCCGGCCTAGGAGCCGCTCGGCCATGCACACGAACCTGGCAAAACAAAAGGCGGCTGCTGAACTTCACCCGGTTTTTGTTGGGTTCTGGCCCCCCCACCCCCCCCCCGCCAGAGGTTCAGGGTCTGGTCCACGATGTAGTGGAAGGCATACTCGCCTCAGCCCAAAGAGTGGTGTTCCCAGTCGCCCCCAAGACTGCCGAGCCGAGAACCGTAAATGTAGCTCTTCCACTCTGAAGTGCTCTCCAGCTTCTGGAGGATCTGAATGGTCGCCTTTAAGGGCACCCTAAAGGCTGGCCCCGTAATGTCAACAGCTTCGAGATTCAAAGTCAGTGCTCAGTGCTCTGAGTCGGGTTCCCAAACACCCCAGGCATCACTTCTTGCGCAATATTCACGCCGCATCATTTCTTGGTGCTCGGATTATGGCACGGAAGCTGGCATGCTCACGGCTGCTCCGAAGCATGTGCGATCTGTGCGATTCGTCGGCTACTGGTGCTGACAAACCAATTAACACAAACTCTGAAGAGTGATGACCCTTGCATCCATCGTGCACTGTGCACAAGTGCAGTGACCAGCAGCAGCAGCAGCAGGTTCCACCCATTCGCATCGTGGATCTCTTGATGGAACACATCGCCGAAATTCCACCCTTTGTCTACAATGGCTGCAGTCCAGATCATCCAGACTATACGGAATACTTCGATATGTCTGGCGCGATCTTGGTGCCGGGCCTTCGAGCTTGACTTGATCATCGGGGTTTTTTGCTATTTCGTTTGTGGGGTCTGGGACCTCAATTTTTGTTGTGTTTGCTGAAGGGGGACCAAATCATTCCAGTCCCTGGAACTGATAATTTCTTGGGTCCGGGATCCTTGTGGTTTCCTGAGTTTCCTGAACGGGCGCAGTGTTCCAAAAAATCGCAGCCGCAATCGTACAAGGACTAGCGCACATTTACGACAACCTCACGTCAGATGTGCTGCATGCGATGGTCCATTATGAGAAGTTTCAGGAGCAGCTCCGCCCTGTGTTGGATCTTTTGGGCACCGAGATGTACAGGGATCGGCTTGTGGCTACGTGTTGCAAAGGCACGGTTTTTGAAACCTTGATGAAGAGCTGGCCGGCGGGGCACTTCATTGCTTGGCGATGGAACTCCTTGGCAGACTGCGTGTCAGCGTTGCTCATGCGCAAGGGAGCACTTATTGAGCAGTGGAACGCTGACAAGCCCTTTGCTTGCATTGTTGTAAATGCCAATGCCAATGCTATGTTGTTTTGCCAGTGTAACAGGTATGTTATGTTAGAACTGAAGTCGCCGGCATTGGCATGGGCCTGGGCCGTCATGGCATGGCCGGTTGCCGACTGCCGATGAAGCCAAGGTTTAGCTACCGAGGCTCATCATCAACCGTGCGCCCGCGATCGCAATCGGCAGATGCAGACCAAGGGGGGCCCAACAAGATGATCAATGCGGTCACGACAGCTGTAAACAGCTCCTTTTTCTGGGCGTACGTGGCCATGGTGGATCTTCTGGCAGGATTCTCCTCAGGGTTGATGGGGTGGGCCGAGGGATGTGGATGCCCGGGCCACCAACACACATGCCACGGTCAACCGAACAGGCATGATCTCAATGGTCGTTGCCAAATGAAAGGGCGGCGGGCTCCAGAACTGGCTGCGGGCCAACTACAGCAGGTCATCGACACGTTTCTGTCTGGAGCTTTGAGTCAGCTAACAGGGTTGTGCTATCAGTTGTCGCCGCCGGACAAAACGAAAATATTTGAAGACTGGAACAATGCATGTGCAGCTCGTCAACAGCAAGCTTTTGTTTCCGCGTCGTGAAGGGCATCCGCGAGAGAGATCTTATTTTGCATGTCGCTGCTATGTGTTGTTTTGTGTCGACTCAGGATCACTTTTTAATGTTATTGCAGATCAAAACTGCACATTGGGCGCTTTTGCCGTGGAGTCTATGCGTTGCCGGGCATCACAGCGAGGACATCGCTCGCGCTGGTCTTCGCAAATGCAGGGATCAATACAACAAAGCGTCTGTTTCCTGGATCTATATATGGATCAACAAGATAAGTTAGTATTAACACCATTGTGACGGCCTTGACAGTTGCCAGTTGCCATTGCCGACACTGCCGATGCCCAGGACCTCACACAGCATCATCGCATGACAAGGCGCTTCTTGGACCCGGCCTACGAAGGACATCAAGAGTCTTATAATTTGTTACAAGCCAATCAAGTCAAGCAGTGTCAAGCAGGACATCCAAATGATCCGCATGATGTGGCCCTACATGAGGAAGCTTCTCGACTGACCGGGTAGTTGAGCGTCGAGGACAATTCCAACTTGTCATCATCTGGGCTGTGAACCGAGGTAGAGGATTTCTTGTCAGGGGCGGACATGGGCGAAAATCTGCAGCGCTGGGCAGGTGCTCTCAAATTGGTTCGTGTTGTGGAACGACCAATCGAAGCAACTCGATGCAAACAGTGCGTGTTGCGCAACAAAGATTTTTGTCCTGGCAATTGTGTGAGCGGTTGATGCTCTCAGATTTTGTGCTCAAGCTTTCTTCGCACGCCCGCACCGAGATTGCTGCTGCAATGAAGAAAGGATTCTTGCTGACAGGGGACAACAAGAGAAATCAGGATGGGCATCAGCCTGCAGCCGCAGCCGCAGCCGATGCCAAATGTGCAGTCGAGCGGCAGAAGCAAGACGAGGTGCAGCAGCCGGCAGCCTCGGCCGATGTCAAGGGTGCAGGGGAACAAGAAAAGCATGAACAAGTGCAACCGCCGGCAGTCTCAGCCGATGTCAGGGGCCGGGGCGCAGTGGAACAACGTTATACCCAGGCCGAGATCAACCACTTCGTTGCACAATTGCAGACAATGAGAGCTCTTGGGCTGGATTCCTACATCACGGAGTCAGGAATGGTGTTCGACCAAAACGAGCTGGAACAGATCATTCGTCGCTATGGACCAGCGTAGATCTCGATGGTTGCTCCTGCTCGGTTGCTCCATCTGTTGTTCCCTGGACAAGACCGACATCGTCGGCACAGCGACCAATGCTTCAAATACTAAAAAGGAGCCTCATTGACTCAGCTGATCTTGCGCTCTTCACAGTGATCCAATCCAGTGAGTGCCAGCAACTGTGTTGCGTGTTGCAGCCAAACGCATTCGATGCAAAGGCGATCCACCGAGATATCAAGTGTCTGTGCTGCAACCAGGCAGGTTTGGCGATAGCTTGTGCGCCACCCACCACGGTAATCCTAAACCTTACACCTACGCCCCGAAATAAAGCATGACAGTGTGCACCAAATCATTCCGACATTTCTCTACATATATATTCTTGCGTCTGGACGTTTGTTCTTTCGATTCCTTTCTGGTGTCTTTGACGAAACAGATCTCAGGTCCGTGCTCTCACGGGCCTCAGCCGCCAAAGATGCATATATATCTACAGAATTGCGGTCGGGGCCCAAATATCGAAGCCTGTCGATGGTCGAGGCAAGCAGTATACCTTTTGCAGAACAGGTGGACCGAGCTGGAAGAGTTGTTTGTCAGTCCTCAGGAAACATGGGTTTGTTATCGCTGTCATGCTGTGGTTTCCAACACTTGCTGACTACGGCGCTCACTCTCAGGAGTTGCAACAAATGGCACATGAATTCAAGAATCTGTCTTCCCTCGCCGGATTACAATCACACTGTGCAGATCTGCTTGGTGGAGTCTCGTGCTTACCTGGTCCCAGGCAGCCCCTTATCACATGCCGAGCACGATTGTTTCCTTATTGTACGCGTAGTGGTTCGAACCGAGGTATTACCTCCTGGCCAAGAAGTCGGCAGGGACAAACTTCAACTGATGATCTATAGAAGACTACCTTCACAAGCCTACACGAATGCCGAAATAGTTGCAAAGGAGGTGGATGTCGGCAAAGCGCACAAGACCAAGGAAGGGTCAAAGAGGCATTTGCAGCAAACCTTGCAAGCTGCCGCACCGTCGTTGAACAATGCAGTTCTAGAACATTTTCGCATGCGCGTTGGCCAACAAAGGAACGCATACCTGGCGATGCCTTTATCAGTGTTCGAGGCATTGCGAGGAACACAGATGTCGACTGCTTTGGAAACAAGCGGCATTGCATCATCCCTGCCTGCGGCACCTGCTCGAGACACAATGAGATTGCGGTTGGCAGATGGCTCTCACAGTTCCCAGAAGCTTTTGGACGATGATAGTATGGGCATTTCATATGACGATGATGATTACGTGCCCTCTGCACGCGAGATTGCAGCGAGCAGTGGCCAAAGCCGAGGGCCTCTGGATGAGTCTGCATCCAGCAGCCGCCGCAGCCCCCTGGAAACGAGCGATGACTCTTCCATGGTCATTTTTCGGGTCGTTCACCCTCAGCCAAATAGATTGAAGAGGCGGGGTGCGGCAATAGTTTTGTTTTGTGATGCTTGTTCTGTTCGTCTTCAGTGCTGAGGCCTTTGAAGGACTCCGATGCCCTCATGCAGAACGACCTCGCATTGCGTCGCTACAGAATCCTGGAAAGTGAGAATGACCCGGCGGCTGGACTATGTCGAGTTCGGGTGGCACGGACTCAGCTTCCGAACATATCAGCTGCGGATCTGTTCGGTCCATCAGTAGACCTGGCCTTGGTGACAAAACACATGGTCTTGTTTACGCCGGGCGAAGCAGTAACCGAATGCAAGCTCCAGGATGAGGAGGAGCGTGGTTTGGTGTATGCCATGGCCAGAGCAGGGGCTTTCTCAGAGGCAGGTATTCATTTTCATGATGCGGATGTTTCCGTGGAGGATTTGGATACTTTGAAGCGGATCAGGCCTGAGTTGATGGGTGTAGGCAAGCTTCAATGCACATTGATGCTATGCTGATTTCAATGCATGCTCAGGTTAAAGCAACAAGGGCTGGTTCAAGAAGCCTCGGCAGGGGCCTGGTGCATGACCGATAAACTGGAACACTTTTACTTGGAGGATAGCCTTTGGCTGGTTGCACCAGTGCGTTTTTTCCAGGACCGTCCCGAGGTCCATGCGTTACAGTGCAGTAAATTCGAATGCAAACAACGGTTGGAAATTCTTCAGTGGACCTCCGAAACCTTGTCCGAAAGGGCCCGTGCTCCTTATGTGCCAGGCAGTGCCAAGGTATGGTTTGTGGATCGCAAGAACAACTACTTCACATCCTATGCTCGATGTTTGTTGATGGCCGAAGAATTGTTCAAAGCCGGCGTTTGTGGAATATACCACGGACAAAGTGACAGCTACTACAACTGTCTCCTTTCAATAGCAGAT